TCTGTTATCAAAAGTACATCAGATCAGATTTGTCATCCATGAGTGTATTCATTTGACATAATCATTTAACGCACGAAGACTGGCAATAGACCCTTCACGCTTTTGTTCTTTGACATGCACCATTTAGGGAAAATCTGTCGAGACCACTGGAAAGACCATTTTAAGATTAATAAAATGGACAAATTTGAAAGTCACTGTAATTTGTCTACAACTAACGAAGGTATAGCTCCTCAAACTGGCGAAATGTTACCGACCTTTGGTTGTTGGGGGTAAACAAACGTTATTAAATTTTCGCAATTTTGCGGAGCTATATATTATATCTTCGCCCGCCTAAGACGTATCACTTTTAAATTTGACAATTTCACTCATTTCAGGGCGCCCTCTCCAATGGTGTCAACGGAGTTTTCCAAACTTGTCCATTTTAAAAGTTGAAAAAACCGTGGAAGGGTCCATAGAATCTGACTCAAGGTGGATTTCCACTGTCGCGTAATATTTATATGCGTTACGCACGTAAACTTTATTTACGCGCGTAAATAGTGTGGAGACAATGTATGGAAGGTCACGCGTAAACGTAAAAGTTGAACCTCACTCAACTTTCACGTTTACGCGTGGCCTTTCATACGTTGCCTCTACTTCAGTTTGCGAGCGTAAATTTTATTTGCGTTAGCAAGGAAGAATTATGCGACAGTGGAAATCAACCCTCAGTCTCACGTTTATCAGTCATTAGAATGCTTCTCACGTTTTTAAAATGTCTTCCTGTTTGTTTCGTCAACAGAAAAGAACTACTTTACGGGCACATGTTACCGAAGCCTTATCAACATGAACAATTCAACCGAATTCACATCTTGTTCTCGCGAGGTCTCTACATTGTTTATAACGATAACTTCCGTCATCAGCTTTGTAGCCTTCACCGGGAACCTTCTTGTGACAGCGACTTTCTTTAGCACACCAAGCCTTAGAACCAGCACCAACTTCTACATTGTCAACATGGCTATCTCTGACATTTTCGGCTCCTGCTTCAATTGGTTGCTTTACGCAGTCGAAGGAATGCTAACGAGTAGAACCTTGATCAACGGTCACTCAGCTCCAATTTTATGCAAAGTTGGGATGTATTCCAGGGCCGTTTCACAACTTGTGTCCGTGCTGAGCTTGGTTTTAATCGCTTTTGACAGATACATCGCTGTTGTGTTTCCTTTGAAGGAAATATCTTTTGGAATGGAACAGGGAAGAGTTCGCCTAACATTATCACTTTTCACTTGGTTGATAGCGCTGGCTTATGGCTGTCCTTACATCCTCTACGCTGAAGTGGTGAAAGTGAATGATCAAACGTTTTGCAGAGCAGTGTGGAATTCCAAATTTGTGGTCACGATATTCAATGGGGTCGGCTTCTTGTTGTTCTTCTGCATTCCTCTGATAACAGTTGCCATTCTTTATTCCCGCATTTTAAAAGCATTAAGAGAACGGCCAGTCACCCAAAATGCTACACGAGGGAAAATAAAAAATCATAAGCAAAATCAACATAAGAAAGTAACAAAAATTCTGATCTCGATTGTTGTCACATTTTTCGTCTGTTGGACTCCACTTTGTGTTTACCTGACCCTGAAAATGTTTCGACCAAACCTCTTCCTCAAGGACAAGTGCCATATTATTGTAGCCTTGTTCTTTTATATTTTTCCAACTCTTAACACAGCAATAAACCCTCTTATTCTTTTTGTGTTTAGCACAAATTTTCGGATTGCCCTGGTGAACCTAATTACTTTTAAAGAGAACATCATCTATCCGTCTCTCGATAAAAGAGTTAGGCCATTGTCTATAAATACTGTTCAGATGTCAGAGCTCCATTAGATACGAAGAACCCTTAAACTATACTATACTATTATGAAACGCCATTTGGTACATCTTCGCAGGTATCAAACCAAATCAATTAACTCTTTCTGTATGGGTTTGAGCTGGGTGCCTGATGTGTGCGTGCAATAACTGATCACTTTCACTTTTAATTATTCTTTAAGGTTTGTAAGTTCGGCGAATGTAACAGCATCTAGTTTTTTGATAGTTTTATAGCCTGCGTAGCTTGGCGGTTTTGTCGAGCAGAGACGCAGGAGCGGCAAAGCCGCAGGAAAAATAAAAACCGCCTGCCCGGATTCGTGGGATTTTCAACTGCCGCCACCTTCATCTCATTTTGACACCCTGATGACGAATTGTCTGGTTTCAATTTCCTCAGCCAGTCAGAGGCTTGATAGTAATATGAAACTTCGCGCGTCAAGTTGCTCCCGCCCCAATCTCCTCGCGGTTTCTCTGGCTCGTCCACCTTTATTACTTTGCGCGCCCAACCAAAACCGCCATGCTACGCAGGCTAATAGTTTCACTAACTGGGAATTTTGATCCGGGGGCGCGGAGTACTGGCTTTGGAACTGGACATTTGCTGGTAATGTTAGAGAGCTACAACTGTACTTGTATATGGACGATAAGGTTTCGAAATTACAAAGTAAATGTACCGGTATTATGGTGAAATAAAGCGTAGAAAATGTTTAGGTACCACCCCAGAAATTTAATCGTAGATTCGTCCACTGATGCAAACCAATGGCGGATCTAGGGATGGTGCCCGGGGGGGCCAGGTCCCCCTTATATTCAAACCAAATATGTTATTCAAATTTGTAACGAGTGGAACAAAAGAACCTTTTGTTACAAGAACCAATGCGCTTCTGTTTTGCGCCTTAATAACAATAAGTGACGTCATCATGAGTATCGCTATGAGAGCTTTCAAAAGCGACCGACAGCCAACGGAAACGGCGGGAGTTGTCCGGCGTTAAATAACACATACCGCCCACTGATTGGCTGCAATTTAAACACAGATGAAATAAGCATTTTCTGCGCGTGTTAAGGTGACTCGACCCAGAGTTTCGCCAAAATCGTAAAGACCCAATGCGAGAAATTCAGCGGTTTCCAAATTTAGGTCATAATTTATGCGAAAATGATAAGCAAACTATACACGATTAAATCTAATAAACTATGAGATTTATCCCTTTATTTTGGGGATCTTTGATGGTTAGTCCAATGACATAGAATAAATGCTCACCGAGATATGATCAATTTGGTACGGTGAAACATAAAATTTTTAACTCACGATTTTTAATCAATTCTCGTGCTTCTTGTGCCTTTGCAAAAAAATGTCACGTAAGTTATTACTATTAAAAAGAAAATATCATTTTTACATAGGTTTAATGGAAATAATTAAACCAACTTTTTTCCTTTTATCTGGTAGTGAAAAAATTAACTCTCTTGGCACTGTCATTTTTTTTTTGTTTGTGCGTATTAGAATCTTTCTTGCTCGTCTTGAACAGAAGGCTAAAATTGTTAGCAAGAACTTGCACCTCCTGCAGTATACAAAGCGCTGAGGGTGTTCATGTCATCGTTACCTGTCCCTCATTTTCTCACCAAAATTATCATATCTCGGTGAGCATTCGGAAGTCAGCCAAGCGCGGTCATTGCATGCGTGCTGAACAAGAATGTTGTATCATGACAGACTAGAAACAATACAAAACTCCCAAAGCACAAACTCAACCAAAACGCTAAAAATCTTCAATGTTTACTCAAGTTTGGGCTTGTAGAAGATAATGTTACAGTATTTCAATGATCATGAAATTCAGAATCCGGGCTGTTAGTTAATCTGATTGTGGCCCTGAAAAAATTTGAAGGAAAAAGACTACGAACTTTTAAGAAAATGCTTTTTTCGTGAGAAGGACTCTTTTAAAAACGCTGACAAACGTCAACAAATAGCTAAAACTATAATTTGTATATGTTTGCATTGCTCGAAATCGAGCGCATTTACAAGGCCCTAAAGCTTTGCTGACTTGCAAAGTTTGCTTATCATTTTCGCATAAATTATGACCTAAATTTGGAAACCGCTGAATTTCTCGCATTGGGTCTTTACGATTTTGGTGAAACTCTCTTCAACGCAAGGCACTAATACGCACTATATGTAGCCGAGAGACTTTCACGAAAAAATGGCGGCAACAGCAGAATTTCCACTCAGACCCCAAAGAGGCGTGGCACTATAACCACGTGACATTTACTCCGATCGGCAAAAATTTTATGCCATATTGTAGATTGATCATATGTTATCCATGATATATGTTAGACTTACGATCAAAGTAAAAGTGGGGATACCAGAGAGCTTCAAAGTAGGATGGTACCCTTACAAAATAACTGGGTCGAGTCACCTTAAAATAAGACTTTTCTCAGTGGCAGCAATTCTTGTAAAACACTGTAGTTTATTTAATCAACTAAAATATATTCATTTGCTCGACTTAAAATTAATAACCAAATGAATTAAAAACCGGAATCACGTTTGTCATTTGTATCACATCGCATTAGGTTTTTTTTTACAGTTGGAAGAGAGGCTTTTACTTTTGTCAACACTCTCCTTCATTTTTAATCATCATGCACAACTGGTGTAATGACTTTTCCCCCGGAGGTATGAACAGCTGTTTAAAATATCAAAGGGTATAAAGAGAACAAATTGACATGAACCACGAAATAGCTCATAGGCTTCATGACATTTCAACTGATTTCTTTCTAGCAGTGGTTTGACGAGAAAGAGTCGGAAGGAGAGATTCGATCGGTTCGCCGCACTGGAACGGTTCGACGACAAAAAATTAGCTCGGTCATACTTTACTGGGATAAGGTGTTTGCAATTGCCAAATTTTCTAGAGACTACAGGTCAGCCCTTCAAAAATAAAGTTTTTTGAGGCGGCCTTTTAGCTAAGATTTCTGATGTTGGTGTACTTTGGAGGAAATATTTGGCTAATGCTTGACTGGATAAGCCAAAGAAAGCCATGAAAGATTCCACACACAACCACTGCTCCGAAGCCACCTCGACAGTTTTTATAGCGGTTTTATCCGCTATCAGCTTCATCGCTTTAGTTGGAAACTCTCTTGTTGTTATAACTTTCTTCAAAACCGCCAACCTCAGAACAAGCAGCAACTATTACATAGTCAATATGGCGGCCTCAGACGTTCTTTGTTCGTATTTCAGTTGGTTGGTATATGCAACGGAGGGAGCTATTACTGGCAGAATGTGGATATCTGATCCTTTGGCTTCCGTTTTGTGCAAAATTGGGATCTATGTTAGAGTTACTTCACAAATCGTGTCCGTGCTTAGCTTGGTAGCAATCGCTGTTGACAGATATTTCGCCATCGTGTTTCCCTTGAGGACAACGTCAATGCATAAAGAAAGAGTTCGTTTTACTATTCTTCTTCTTATTTGGATCACATCAGGCGCGTTATGCTGTCCTGGGATCCTTTACGCCAAAGTTGTGGAGAGTAACGGTGACAGTTTCTGCCGATTGCTCTGGACTCAATCAGCCTATAAGATTTACCATTCGATTGGTATAGTACTACTTTACTTTACTCCTCTTATAACCATAATAATCTTTTACTACCGCATTTTAAGAGCGCTGCGAGCACGATTGATGAGTGGAAACGGTCTGCGAGACTCACAAAACATCACTCTAATTCAGAATCAGCAAGTCATTAAAATCCTCATCTCGATTGTCTTCGCTTTCTTCTTCTGTTGGACTCCTCTTTGCATTTACTTTGTTCTTAAAATTTTTCAACCAGACCTATTCCTGGAAGACACATGTCACATAATTGTAGTTTTGTTATTCTACGTTTTTCCATCTCTTATCACCGTTATTAATCCTCTAATTCTTTTCTTGTTTAGCACAAATTATCGACAAGCTTTGGCGAACGTACGCGCACTTTGTCGGGTTAATTCGGTCGGGATATCTCCGTTGCATGTTACTACAGTTCAGATGATGGAAATCCACTAGATCATGTCTGCATTTTACGAACTGGTTTGATTGAACGCTTTTAGGTAACAATTATTTAGGCTTCTGATAGAAAAAAAAAATTCCCGAGTAGCCAGCAGCTGTTGACGAATATGTTTTACTATTCAGGCAGATCTAAGAGTAACTAAGCTGAAATGAAGTAAGTGGAATTGAAATAAAATATTCCGAATAGTATACAACTATCCCTTCAAGGGGAGGTGAATAGTGGTGGAACTACAGGTAGACGCGGAAGGTCGAGGGATATATCTATCGTTGTTCACCAATCTTGAGGGGATAGTTGTTTTAGTATTTACCAAATCAGTTAGATAAAAATGAAAAAAGTGACTTTTGTAAATTAAAACCGTCAGTCAATAGGAACTTTGTTTACAATTTACATACATTTCTGGGGTTTTGTCAAGTGCATTTTTACGATTTTGTTGCAAATTCAGCATGAAAATCATTTTCTACCTTCCAGTCAACACTGACAAGCCAAAGTTCCTCACTTTCTTGGTATTTGTTTGGTCGACTGCTTCACTTATCGCTCAAATTTCGTCTTTCGAAAATGTCTCGAAACGAGACACCATCTTAGCTCCGGTCGCAAAAACATTGAATAGCCAAGGATATTCCGAGTTACGGGAGCCAATCAAAACGCGCGAAAAGTGCTATTCACTGATTTGGTAAATATTAATTAAAAATAGAATAAATGTGAATGCAATTCTCTCTAAGACGGACCGGATACCGTTTGGACTGAACCCAAGGGCCCGATATTAGAAGTGGTGTTGTCACGAAGCTCTACTTTTGTCTTTTACAAAAAGTTCTTGAATAGGTAACGTTAACATCATGTTTCATGGCGAGCGGTGGCGAGTTATGATTATGGCAATGCAAAATGGACTTGAATGACGTCGCAGACACATCCCCGATTTTCTGAAGATTTGGTTGATGGAATTAAAGTCATCGCAACATAATTGTGATAAGACAAACTCATTTTTTTCTTGTTGAATACTTTTGGGAAACAGTGAGATATTGATGGAGATATTGTTGACGGTGTTGGTGATGCAAAAAGAAGAAGAAGAAGGAAAAGAGGAAAAAGAGAAGACGGTTGAAATATAAAGTGCAAATTTAATATGATAATCTACTTTTTCTAAGTAAATGTATCAACATGAAGCCGAAACGTTGTAAATTGCATGGTTCAATGTTTAATTAAAACAGCTGTGTAGACTTTGAAGTAAAAGATAATTTAAAAATTGTAAAAAAAATTCGTTTGGGGAGAGACGAAGAAATGGGTTTGCTAGTTAAATCTTTAGTAGTATTTTGTTTTGCTGAGAAATTCGTATTATGCTATACTATAAGGATGGAGGTAATTAATAAATGGTGAAAGAACTAATAAATGAAATATTCCATTAATAAAAGAAAGTATTATTCCTTTGTACCGTGGATTTCTTTGTTTGTAGACAAATAGTCATTTTTACATTCGCAGCAAACTTCATAACTGTGTTGATTCTTTTTTTTTAATCAAGGAACTTAATGGCAGTAGGCTTCGTTTCATTGAAGAAAAGTTTTCTTGGGAAAGAGAGTCACTCTCTCAGCCGAGTCAACTTAATAAATTGCAAAAAATTTTGACCCCTTTGCCCAGGCAAAGAGCGCTCGTGCATGTTCTGATCGTGAAGCCTTGACTGAATTGACCGGTTAGGCCAGCTAAAGTGTATGAAGGGAGAAAAGTTGGTCCGGCTAGGAGGGTGATCTTACCATCAAAAATGGGTGACTCTCTGTTTTTCACGTTAATTGGTTGCCAAGTTTTGTAAAGAGGAAATGGAGAAAAGGTTGGCTGTCGAGGGTGTCTTCAGTAGCAGAGACACAAAAATGTTAGGTCTGTATTAGAAATGAACAAGTTTTAGGTCCAGTTAAAAAGCTCTTTTAAATCTTCTCCAATGTGTCTTTTAGATATTAGGAACAGCACGTTTCCCTTAGCCAAAGTGTAAAGGGATACAAACTTTTGATTTTTATTCATTTACAATAGAGGAGTCAGCCCTCTGAGATTATATAATATGGTTATGATAAAGTTTTGAACGCCTCAAAAGCCACAGTTGGTAGTTGTATTATAACGCCGGTTGTTTGGTTCCGGCTTAAGGTAGAGAGCTGGTTTGTCAACCGCAAAATATTCCGAATTTCAGAAGACTGATGAAAACTGTACGTCTATTAAAAATGGATAAACCATTTTTACACATTTTGTTTTTCTGTTTGTTCTGCATGTTGGTCTTTTAGTCTATTTAACAATCTCAACATAGTATAAGAAACTCTGTTCGCACTAATTGACGCACTTCTACATTTTTTCTCAACTATACTTTGTTAAAGCTCGCACCAAAGAGCTACCAGAACTAAGAAATAAAGTAAAACAAAACGAAACCAACCAAACAAAAAAGCCTCAGTTGAACCAACCAACCATCCAACCAACCAAAAAAAAAAATCATTCAGTTTAGCATTTAAAGAGCCAGGCTTACATAGGGTCACATGGGCCTTATATATTATAAGGCCTGCTTATAAATTCCTCTAATTCTAAGGGGTCTCAATAAGGTGCTGGCTTTGACCCTTGACGATTATTTTTTTTCCAATTTTGACGGTTGACGGCTAAATTTCAGAGCTTTTGACGGTTTACGGTTATTTAGTGAAAATTTAGTCCAATATAGTTAAAGTAATTTGATTAACTTGTGTATAACGTAACATTAACTGTTGTGTTTTGGAGGTTTCCTTGGCCTTTCACATAAAATTTGAAGATAGATTTAAGATATAAAAAAGATGCAAGGTCTTGTGATGTTCTTAGGGAGTGTTTTTGATAAATTGGTCCGTGACTTATTTAGTAAAGTGATTCTTCGGGAGCCGAAAGTCCGTGAAGATCAGGTGAAATAGTGAACAACTAGAACAACGACAACAATCAATCGATCAATCAATCAATCTTTATTAGCACCCCGGGAAAAAGGGATTCCGAAGTAATTATATTCTTACAATTAGCAAGATAGAGAGCATAGCCAAATGATTAGAAATTATAGCAAATGCTTGTCGCGCTAACTGGGTGAGGTTTGAAATACCTTGAAACGTTTTGACGGTTAATATTCCTCTGCACTTCTGACGGTTGACGGTAAAAAAATAACCTTTTTGACTGTTGAAGGTTAAATTTTGGTCCGTTTGACATCTGACGGTTAACCCCATTGAGACACTCCCTCTATATAATACGTTCTTAACCCTTTAAACCCTAAGATCAAACTTTGAATTCTCATTTGTTGCCCCTATTAATTTCCTACCGAAGTAGTGGGGAGAAGTTGATAAAATATCAAGCAAATTCATCTTGTGTGATCATGTCCGTAATTCTCATGACCACTCTGTTTTACAAAGCATTGATATTACAAGGAGAAATTTGATGCTGATAACTCTTAGGGCTTAAAGGGTTAATGAAGGAACTCGTGACGAGGCCCTAAAGTGTTTGTGTGGGAAGTTACATATTTTGTTTATATTTGGGCAAAAGCTAAATCTCTATATTGCTCTCTGTTTCCAGCACTTTTTCTACCCACTTTGTGAGCTCAAACATACTAGCATAGACACCATATTTGTGTGGCCTTGCGCATTCGTGGCCCCAAGATACCACGCCGGTTAGATAAAACTGCCCTTGGTACTGGCACGCCAGTGGCCCTCCACTATCGTATTGACAAGCGTCAACGCCTCCTTTCGCGTATCCCGCACACAGAGCTCTGGAATGAATGTTTCCATGATAGGACTTGGCATGGTTGCAAATACTTGTCGGAACCAGACGTACTTTGGCTTCTCTCAAGATGTCCGGTTTAGTGCTATTCCACTGGGTGTGACCCCAGCCAGTGACGAAACACTCCTTTCCCCAAGGGAACCTTACCCCAGGTCGAAGAAGGCAAATTGGAGACACAAACTCGTCATAGACTGCGGGCTCAGATAGACGGACTAGGGCTGAGATAGATAAAAACATTTACTGTGCTTGTTATTCGTCTTCTTCAAGCATGGTACATTCCTAAATATCTCCTAATAAGTAAAAGAAATTTAATCATCCAATAATCGACTCAATGTTGGCTGGTAAAAATGGCACCTGGTTTTCCAGGTAGTAAGTATCGGTACTTTACCTCATTGATAAAAAATACGGACAATTTTCTTCGAGCAAAAAAATAATATTAAATAATATTAATAATTATATCGTTAGGGTGGGGGTCGGACACAACAAAAACATATCCCCAACATGTTTCCAATCCCCCGATACGTGTTTTTCTCAGCAAATATGTGCTTAACCGCGTTGTCGCTGCTAAAAATTCCACCAGCAGAGCGCCCATTCACAGAGTACCTAAGAAAGTCCAGTTCACCAGAACTTTAGTTTTTCTTCAAACCTGTAACTCCATCTGAAATTCCATTTTAAATTTTATCTATACCAAACAGCAAATCGCATGGCTTATACTCCTGTCCTACTCAACTTCGTAAATACTTAAGCGAAGTCATATCTCCAGTGCTTTCAGACATTCTTAATACACCTGTTTCTCTTGGGGCCTACCCCAAAAAACTTAAAATGTCAAAAATTATACCTATCATCAAAGCTGACGACGAGACCGACACTTCTAATTATAGGCCAATTTCATTATTATCTAATTTCAATAGAATCTTCGAAAAACTTATGTACGACAGAATGAGAGACTTTATTGAAAAAGCCCAGCCTATTATATTCGTCTCAATATGGTTTTCGTCAAGCTCACTCAACCCAACATGTTATTCTTGATACGGTAGAAACTATACAAACCAATATGAACAAAAAACTCTTTGTATGTGGCGTTTTTATTGACTTAAAAAAGCCTTTGACACTGTGAATCATACTATTTTGCTTGATAAACTAAATTATTATGGCTTCCGTGGAATTTTCAATCAATGAGTTTCCTCTTATTTATCAAATCGCACACAAACTACTGAAATTGGCTCTAATATATCTAGTAAATTAAATATCAATTGCGGCGTACCCCAAGGATCTGTTCTAGGTTTATTTCTCTTCTTGCTTTATATAAAAGACATCCAATATTGTTCGAGCAAACTCCCATTTTTCCTGTTTGCTGACGACACTAACGTTCTTTATGCTCATAAAGTTTTATAGACGCTGGAACTAACAGTAAATGCAGAATTACACAACTTGTACAACTGGCTGACGTCAAATAAGCTCTATCTGAATATTAAAAAGTCAAACTATGTAATTTTTCCTCCATACCCAACCAACTCATCTATTATCCCCAGGTTGATGTTTTTGACAATGAAAGCAGTAAAAAGGTTACCCTTGAGCGCAAAAACTTTATTAAATATCTTGGACTGTTAATCGATGAAAATCTACCTTGGAAGACCCATATTCACTCTGTTGCAAACAAAATAAGTAATTAAAAACAATTAGGCTAATTGCGAGATTAAGACATATTGTTCCCATTTGCACCCTCCTAAATATTTATCAGTCATTAATTATACCTTATCCAACCTACGGTCTTATCTCTTGGGGCAACGCGTGTAAAACTTTCCTCGACCAAATTCTTGTCGTTCAAAAACGCACACTGCGTTTAATATATTTTGCTGAAACAAACGACCACGCAATATATAATATACCTTTTTTTCCAACGCATAAATTCTAACTTTACAGGCTCTATGTTATGAATCCGTTTGAAGTCTTATGTGTGATGCAAATAAAAACACTGCTCCGGATAATATTTTGAAACTCTTCTTCTCGAATTTCTAGTGTTCATACTTACAATACACGTGCCTCAACCTCTGAACATTTTTATACTAAAAAATCTCGACCCAATGTCAGACGAAATGCTTTCTCGCGTGTTGGGGTCAAAATTTGGAGTGGGGTACCTCAAATTCTTAAAGAAAGACCGAAAAAAGCTTTTAAAAGATCACTAAAAGCAATGCTACTCGATATCCTTCAAACTTAAGAGTCCTATACTGATGTAGATACGATTTTTGTGAAACTGAAAGAGCAATTCTCTTGTCCTTTATTTCCATTTTATTTTCAAAATTTCACCCCAATATTGTCCTTGTATTTAACTAGAATAGTATTTATTTACTGTAAAATGTATATTATATAACGTCTAATTTTTTTGTATTTGTCTAGTTTGTAGTAAATCATGTAGCCTGGCCTGGCTCCAATAGCCTCGCTAACTGCAGGCCAGTCCCAATGTACTTTTTTGTTATATCACCAGTTGAAGTTGAAGTTGAAAGTTGAATGTTGACAATAACAATAATCGACTGTTTAACTGTGACAACACAGAGATCGAAACGCACCCATGACATCATGAGTCTTCATAGCCAATAGCATCACGACTTAACTGACAGACGACCAATAACACCGCGACTTAATTGACCAATCAGGTCAATAAAGCGAGTTAAATACCATTAACTCAGGTGAAACGACTCACTTTGACTCTGAAGATGACTACCGCACAGGTAGGTTGTCGAAACGACTGTCATTATCAACAACACAGTCCTACTCAGGACTACGTTTACTCGGACAATCATATTCAACCTACTATGATGACTCCTGGGTTCAAACCTTTCACAGTTTTAGAAAATCTCTGTTGCTTGAACCTATCTTACCTATTATGCACAGAAAAGCATATCGATGGCACCTACACTAGCATGCTTGCCACAGCATTTCTTGGCGAAAAGGAAAAGGAGAACGAGAATAGAGGATAGCATTAATATTATGGCTTCCCATATACAGCCGTATCAAATACAATATACTTCTGTTAACATTTAAAGCCTTACATGGCTTAGCACATGCACCTTTCTATATAACAGTAATGTTGCAACCCTACAGATCATCAAGAAGCTTAAGATATGCCTCTATGAGGTTCCTGACAATACCATCAGCAAAGTTGTAGAAATATGACTTTAGGTCATTCTCATTTGCAGCACCTACAATTTGGAACTCAGTGCCAGAACCCATACGTAATCATGGTGACAACTCAAAATTTAAAACTTCAATAATTAGACTTTCTTATTCAAAGAACATTTTAATTAAAGTTCTGTCAGAATAATGTATATAGTGTAAATATTGCGATAAGAATTGTAATTTTTAATCTTTACTTTTAATTTTACTTTTTTAATAAGAAATTTTAACTTGTATTTTTCTATATTTGTGCAGTTTATTATTGATGTAATTTTTTTTAATCTACAAAATTTTCGGTTTGAAACATTCAGTATTAAAGTACCATGAGCCTATATGGATATGGCGCTATAGAAATCCTTATTATTATTATTATTATTATTAAAAGTTCTCCAGAAGAGTTTTCATTTGAATTGTAACACGTACTATAGAACGTCGTTCACAAATTTAAAGTTAGATTTGGCAAATTATATTCCTTTTAACTTGGTCTATTATTGAATTGATTAAACCTGATCTGACTGTATCCAGAAACACCCAGCAGCCTCCATCGTTCAAACCAACCCATATATGGGTGCATTAGGGCTTCGGTTACAGGAGCGTATCCGAGAAAGAAGAAAGGATGTATAGGACGTTTACTCACCTACGTCATAGTCAGGTGGAGTATCCAATATTCCCTCAAGGAACATTGACTTGTATTTTGGATGGAGATAAATTTCTGCTACCCGTCTGCTCTGCTCAAACGCTTCTTTATCGACCAGATGATGCTCGCCTAAGACCACTCTCCAGTGGGACGGGTTTGTTGAAGTGTATAAGTCTAAAATAAATATTTCAATCTCATTGAATAGAAATAAAAGAAGATCACCTACACCGAAACTGAGATTCGTTATGGACCCCAGTTGGTTTGGACAGAAACTTAATAAGCAATATCGAGGGTGTTTTCACACACTATATTTTGCTTTGTTTTATAACGTCCTTCAGTTGCTCCGATGTTCCGATTAAAATAATAGCTCTAATTACAGGAAAAACTCTTGATCAGACTTAAACTGGGTGTTTGCTAAAATTATTCTTTTAAAAGCACTAAAATAACCCTCATTCTCTCTTGAAAAACCCCAAATCTGATTTCAAACCCAATTTAATCTTTTCCTTCAGGCTCTCTTAGTTTATAAGCCATGTTGCATCGTATCACTGTTAAAACTCGAAGATGGAAAACATTTCAAATTTTATTTGTTTTGGAAAACCACATGCACTGTGTATTGAACTGAGAACTAACTAACAACTTGGATCCGAAATAATCAGTGCTTGTGTCAGCTAACACAACCTTCGAGTCCATTATTATTTCTTCATGACGAGTTATAAATTTAACTTGTGCCGATGTCTTCCACATTAGGAGTTCTTTTTGCGTGGTCCACTCTCCTTCGACTAATTTGTAGTATTTTTGGCAAAGCTAATAAAAAATAATATTAGAAAAGCACGTAAACTCGATACTTTTAGATCTCTCTAACACACTAAAAGTTACGAAGTTTTTAAGTTCTTCGCAATGGGCCGCACTGAAAAAAAAGAGAGAAAGAGAGTTGTAATAGTTTATTATTTTACCATGAAAACAATGACTCGCAGAAACAACCCAGAAAGGAGAGATAAGCGATCCTCCACAGAACTGTGTTTCATTAAAAAGTAGAGCGACCTGCCATGGCCAAGATCCCTGTTTACTTTCAGTGCCGCCAACAATTCGGCGAAAAATAGATTGTACGCTTTGCCTATCTCCCTTCCTATTGTGCAATCCTACTCCACAAAATGTGTTACCTAGAAAACATAAAGAAAAAGAAATAATTTATCAGTTTTGACACACATCTGGTAATAAATCTTTTTTATTCTTCAAGTTGTAAATTGCTAAGGCGGATTTGTCAGCCGGAGTGATATTAATTGTAAATATATTTTATTATCGGTGATGACATCCAGTGTTAGATTGTATGTGTGAGAAACTGAAGCATACATAAATTAAACCGTTGGGCCAATTTTACGCTGCCTTTTTAAAAAGAAATAATGTAAAGCATATAGTTTCATCCCAAAAATGTCACATTGCTGAAATTGTATAAAGGGCCATCACGATTTTTAACTTACGTTTTTGGGTAAACTTGCAATTTTGAAGGAACACTCACTCTTGAACAAGATGGCCCCGCTCAGACCCGTTCACCCTTATCAGTTGCCAAAGGAAAGACTGATTCTTAAAATATATAATCTTAATTCTCTTTGTATAATCCTGAGAATATAATAGTACCTCGCAAACTTTGTACCAAAGAGATTTAATTTGAATGGTAACACCATGAAAAGTTAGCACAAGAAATCTGAATCTCGCTATTATAAATGCGGTCTAGAAGTGAAATAGTAAATTAAAACAAAAACGGCGCACGTCAGCTGTAAGTGGATTTTTGCCTTCTAGGGCAGCGTTTGGCCCACATGCTCGATCAAATCGTCTCTATAAAAGTAACCGCACTCAGCAAACAAATCTGATAACGTCAAAACATCGTTAAAGAAGGAGGTTGACGTGAGTCCTGCAAAAACCCTTTTGCTTTAATAAGCTCCCCTCTTAATCCATTCTACAGAGCAATCAATCATGGTTTTAGGGCAATGTTACCCAAATAACCCATCAACCATCAGCCCCCCTTTTTTAAATTTTAGTCTACTATACTTCTCTTTTGTTGATTCCTTATACCCTTTACATTCATGTAATAGTAAACTAAGTAACTTTAGCCAAGCCCAGTCATTGCACCAGTTTGAATTTCCATTCACGCAACCCCAGTCTAAGACCATTCAACTGCCCCCTAAGGATCCCTGCGGCTTTCGGGAACAAGGTTGACGCAGCAGTAAGAACACTCGCCTGTCACCAGTGCGGATCAAAGGTTCGGCAGACATCATATGTGTTGTTTGAATTCGTGATTGGTTCTCTCCACAACTCCGGTTTTCCCCTTTCCTCACCGAAAATTAATACCTCGAAATTCTAACGCGACCCGGAACGCACGAACACTTTCATATCATTTCTTCACTGACAGTTCCTTAGCTTCTTGGGAGCAAACAAATTACCAAAAAAAAAAAAGAAAAAAATAATAATAATAAAAAAATTAAACATCAGAACAAAGAACAAATTAGAATTTGAGCCAGGCTACTTTTTGAGTCATCAAGTTCATGCTCCATTTTTTTCGTACGTTCAGGCTGCACTGGAAAACGTTCTTTAAGTGTCTCTGTTAGCTAGTTCATCACTACTTTTATTGTAAGGATATTTTTCTGATGAAAACTACCATATGGAGTATCCCTCTATAATATTCCTTACTCAGTAAACGACTTACCGGATGAAATATTCCCTAAGATGAGACAAAAGAAAACGAGGAAAAGTTGCGCCATCTTGAGTAAACTTTAAGTCACCTTCCAACCACTTTTCCCTGTGTTACCATTGATACTCTGTTCACCTTAAAACAATCTGTTCTTCTTTTGTGACTGAAGCTGTTAACTTACGACAACTTCTAATAAACTGCAGTACACAAAACAGCTACAAACGCTGTTTGCAGCTGTTTTGTGAAGTGGCAGGATAACCATGCCAGCTTTTATTTTATTTGGAGTGAAAAGTAATTAACAGTCAAGGCTACGGACGCTGAATGATCTTCTAATTTCCATTCAATTAGGTGTGTAAGCATAAAGGCCACTGCTTCGTTAATTTCCAGGCTATATCTGAGTGGTTTTTAAATTTTTCATTAGGCTTGACGGTTTTCTGTTTACTTCTTCCGTTGAAAGTATCGTTTTGCATATATGAAAGAAAGCGATCTGGCAATTACAATCTGCTCCCTTTTGCGGCAGTTTCCTAAAAACTCGTCATTTCTTCAAGGCTACTATCATCATAATGTTTTCCGGATCACGAAAAAGTATGATGATCATTGTAAATTAATGCAAAAATAAATAAAGTAAAAAAAAAAAAAAAAAAAAAAAAAAAAAATGCCATTTCACTTCTCTATTTTGATGTGATGAACTCTTTTGATTGGACCTCGAGAAAGAGATTAAGTACGGTGAGAACTGATTTTCAACCCCGTCCAGTAGCACTACGCGTCCCGAGAACACGTTAAATCGAGGAATTTGGTGGAAACGTCAATACCTCATGTACACTCCGAGAGAGGGCTCAGTCGTATAAATTATACTTTAAAACTGCCCGCCTCACTCGAAAATTTTCTAATCAGTCATTTAAAATTAATATGGACAAGAGCCGTTTATGTTCTCCTGATATTAAAGCACTCGTGCTGACGCACAAAATAACCTGAAAACAACGAGAGAATATAAACTCACATGGTGTGAGTAAACCATGACCATTGGTCTTCCAGGGACTCCGCAACAGTTTTTAAACTGGCGGTTGGTGACAATTCTCCTCTCTCCACCCCATTCCTCCCAAGCAATGTTACCTTGACAATGATCAAAACGAAGCCATTCCTAAGTTCATGATTCTTAGCCAGAAATAGCGGTCAGCATTAGATCCCATCGGCGTAGCCCCTTTCTCCCCTCATGAAATTTACCAAGGAAGAACTGTTTTTGCTTTTACATCACACTTAGATGGTATTTCAAGCTGGAAATGTTCATGAAATTGCAAATCCCTTCAATTTGAAAGAAAAAAAAGATGATATGAAGAGCGGTAGGATTTGAACCCACGTCCTAGAAAGACCAGAAAACTTAGTATACCACGCTAACTGGCACCAGACCACTGCGGATATTGATAGATGGAAAACAAACAATTTAAGTAGATAGAGCATCAACCCCAACCCCTCAAAAAAGAACCTAACCAGTTTTGAAACAGTGCGTAACCCTAATCAGTAAAGGCAGTGCTTAACCCTAATCTGTAAAAGGCCGTGCTTAACCCTAATGCATAACGAGGAAAACTACGTTGTGTAAATTTCATGAGGTGTCCGAAGAGGCTACGGTCGATGGGATCTAATGATAACCGAGCTTTAATCACTGCCAAAAACTTGAAAACCGCTGTCCGAAATTTTCTTCAAGTCTTAAGCCATATTCTTTACCTACACATCCTCAAAATTGTTCAATATCTCTTTATGCTGATGTAAAAAGTCGAAATTAGTTTTTGCTGTAAATCTTATGACGTCAATATCCCCGCCACAAAAAACCGTTTAAATCGGAAATTGAAAAACATACGATAGTTGGGAGTAAAGAGTTCTGTCATCCTGATAAGTTTTATCCATTTTGTTTTGAAGTCTCACGACGTACGTCAAAAGCGTGGCCTTAAGGGAGAACCCAAATAATGGCTGCGTGGGACACCACTCCATTGTACGTGAACAGGAAAGCATTCAGCTGACTTGTCCTTGTTTCCAGCTCCACCTTCATTAGAAGCCCTGTTACTAAAAATGCCTGTGGAGGACTCGTGCAGAACATTCAATGCGGGCTTACGCTCAACCGTTTCCGAGCATCGTTCAACCTTTTCTTCTTGCCTGAATTCCTTCAGGGAACAAACAAGTAAGTTTTGTAACTCTTTCTAATGTTTCCCGAAAACTTTCTTTGGCACTAGTCTTATTTTAATTTTTTTTTCGCATTTTGGATTCAAAGGCATATATTTCCATTTCTTAACTAAACTGAATCCATGAGATAGATCCACTTTATGGGTAAACTCTCTCCATAGAAGCGTAATTTGAGAATTGTGTTCTGGGCTATTTTTTGGGAGCAAGTTCTATTTTTTTCACAAACGGTTGATCGGTCGTGCGAAAGGTAAGCTCTGTCGACAACCGTTCAAATCCCTCCAGAAATCTGGACGAATAAATTAAAAAAACGGTTTTTTTCCTGTTCTTGACCGGTTTAGAGCATTATTGCGTGAGTCTTGCGTAGCAGATCAGAGTTGTCGCAATTTTTTTATTCCCGCGAAACTCTCGCCATTTGACAACAGACCTGACGATTAATTTTGCTTGCGAATCGATAGAAAATTGAACAGTTGTCGGCAGAGGCTACTTTTAGCACACCAGCTCACACAGCGAAAATTTAGCCTCTGCTCGCAGGGTACAGTTTGGGGGACTACAACGTTTGTAATAACGATGACAGCAATGTCATCAGATGACTTCAGTTGCCACTGCACGGCGTGAGATGTGGCTTTTGCTTCAAGTTGTTGTTACTCCTTCAAAGTTTCCAGTTTTGCTTTTCCACTTAGAGTAATTAAAAAATAAACTGCTGAAGAAAGGAGGGTAGAGATGCGGCACACAAGCTCCTGTCTCACGAAATAACAGGTGATCCATTACCAGCGTATGTTGGTAGTACTACTCTTTATTCAAAAGAGCATAATTCTTATACACTCCATGGCTTTCAATAGAAAACGGACTGAGTCAAACTAATTTGCAATTTTTATAAACATATGCGTCACTCTCCCTACAAATACAAACATGATACAACACAAAAACCTGCTGGGTTGTCCTCTTAAATTGTTTAAACAATAACCTGCTTTATTTGACATGATATTGCTTCAAATTAGCATTAAGGTTTCTGGTTTTTAAATATCGAAATCACCACTATCCAAAGAACAAAAATTTCCCAAAGATTCACCCCGTTAGGAAAATTGTTTTTCACAAGCTGCCCGGCAATCACAACAGAGCTCAAGGCGTGCATGAAGTTTTTGTCGATAAACTGGATAATACGCTATTTACTCTCTTTTTAAAAAGCCAAATTTTTTATCGAATCAATTGAATTAGAAAAGCAATGGTCCAGTTGTGTTATTTAAAGCTATATTTGGCATCGAAACTGCTCCCTCTCGTCTGTTGCAACAGATGGTAAGGTTGGACATAGCTTGCGTAGCAGGCGCTCGGAAGTAATGGGCCTCGGCGAGTCGCGCGTGTCGCGTGTCTCCTTCTCGCGCGCCCGTTTTCTTGCGCCCACTGCTTGCAAACGCCTGCTACGTCGGCTGGGTTGGACATGGATTGAAATTTGAAAAAGTTGGGCTAATTTTTTCAAGTTTTAATGCTATATGGCTGCAAAAAATCGCGAAAAAATTATTACGCTTATTGCTCCCTCATGAAAATTGTTTGATATCTCCTTTTTAACTCTACAGTATGGGTAAAGGACTAAGAAATGACTTCAACACAGAATTTGACCCTGAAAATAGCAATTATAATTATAGTTAGTGTACACAACAGGAAGGCAGTAAGAAGAGGACGGCAAAACGCTTGTGTGACAAACGTGTCCAGGCTATTACTTCCGAGTTTTGTCGTGATCGACTTCGCGTAAATTCACTTACCATTAATCTTCTCTGGTCTTACACAAAAAGATCTGTTTAAAGAAAGGTGAAGTTTGGCGGAAAGTTATTTCGAACAAAATTATTGTCACGCTTGTCACGCAAGCTTTACCGTCTTCTTTCTACCATCTACCGTCCTGTTAAGTAAGTTCACTATCACGTGACATAGACCCTTTATTCTCTGTTCTTATTTAAACTTCAACCACTTGCATCAATCTACTCAACTATTCTTTACAAAACGTTATTAACGCTGGCAATAAGGAACGAAGAATAAGTTTTGTTGTTACTTATTCGTTTCAATCCAGTGCATGATTTGTCTAGCTTTACTATCCTACTTCTCGCAGAAAAATGATAACAAAATGAAAGGTAATAATAATAATAACAATAATAATAATAATAATAATAATAATAATAATAATAATAATAACTCTATCAGAGTTAAGAGATGTGGACAGAGCAGCTCGGAAGATCATAGTTGAGAACGGTGGCAAGCACCCAGCTAGCCTGACTTCTTTGTTATATCTACCGAGGGAGAAAGGGGGTAGAGGCCTGCGATCAGTCGAACACGAGTACAAGATCCCTAAAATCAAATCAGCTACTGAAATTGTATCAGAACCCGGACCAGACTGTGGAAGCAGTTAGAGAATTTGAAGAACACGCCATGGCATCAGGCCACCAGTCGCTCGTAAAGGAAGCAGCTAAGTACGCTGAAGAACTCAACATCACACTTCAGCTTGATACCCTAAATCCCGTGTGTGTTACAACAGAAGGAAAGGTGGTAACTGCAGCAAGAGCTGGGAATCTGTTGAAGCAATCTCAAGAGAAGCAGTTCTTGGAGATCGCTAAAGACAAAAAGTGGCAAGGAAAGTTATTCCGTATCAGATGGGAAGATGAGAGCCTAAGCATAACCAGCTGCTTTGCATGGTTAAAAGGTTGGGCTACATGCCCTACATATACCATCGCGGGCATGTATGAATTGTATGAGCAGTTGTTACCTACGAAGGTCTACACAAAGGAGAAGACGCAAACCTCCACCGACGGCGAAGTTCTATGCAGGTTATGTGGGAAGGTAGTTGAGAGCGTTGCACATGTACTGGCTGGATGTTCCTCCCTGGCACAAACCAAGTACCTATACAGGCATAATGCAGCTTTGAAGATTCTGTTTTTTGAGCTCCTGGGAGAGCATGGGTTAATGGAAGAGGTTCCACCATGGTACTCACCGGTGATGCCAAAACCAGCCTACCAGAACACCACGAGTGAGGCGTTTTGGGATATTCCCATTTAGTATATACTAAAACAGTGGATAGTGTTTTTCGCGCGCTCTGATTGGCTACTCAATCAGTGAATATCCTGCACTATTCACTGATTCACCTCCAGTTCCTCGGAGCGAGGGACGCCACACTCGCGTAAGTTGCAAGCAAAATGCCTTCCCGGTTTGCTGCAGTAAACAAACCAAGAAATTTCACAACTAATCAAGCAAGCTGTTTCCGAAATACACGAAGAAGGAAACAAAGTTCGGATTGGAAGTTTGAACGGGTAAAGCTTTGTCTTTTTGACACGAATTTATCGATAAAAGCGGTGAAAAAGTTTTTTGATTACAAATGCAAATTAAGTTTAAGTCTTGCGTTACGTTATTTAGTTGAGTTGTTCATAAATAAGCTTAAAACTAAATTTAATAATCTTTTTTTATAGAATGATTTTAAATACAAAAAGATTTCACAACTCCTTTTAAAGAAATTTTCCCGCAAGAGCTAAACAAATGCCTTCAAAAGTTTTAATTGTCGGCAAGAAAAAGCGACGGCCGCGGCCGCCCGGTCATTACGCGCCAAAATTGTAATCGTTGGCAACAGTATTTGAGTTAAAAATCGTCATTTGTGTGCTCAATTATCTCACTGTTTTAGTATATACTAAAACAATTATTCACCTCAGTGTCGGTGGCTAGTCGTGGATATTTACCTCACTTCTTCGCAGTTCGGTAAATATTCAGGACTAGCCACCTCCACTTCGGTGAATAATTGTTATCTATGCAGAGCACAACGAAGTTAGAGCAAATCGGATCGACGCGCGACTTGTCAACCACAAGAGGAAAGAAGTCTGCACAATTGAAATGAGCTGCCCATGGATTGAGAGTAGAGCTAAGAAAGATGAGGAGAAGACACTCAAGTATGGGCCCATGATGTGGGAGCTGAAGCAGAGATACAATGGGTACAGGGTTGAACAGTACAACGTAATAATTGACGTACTGGGGGGTTACTCTAAACACCTAGAGAAGTCGGTGAAGAAGCTACTTGGAGCGAGAGCACGGAGCGTACTTGAGCGGATGCAGAAGTCGGTCATCTCAAACACTTTAAACATTGCCAGAACATTTAAGATAAATACTTAG